TTTAGGAGTTTTTTCCTGTTTTTTGATGGATTCTTGACCTTTTGATCTTGGTGTTGATGGCTTCTTTCTTTCTTTCTTTTTTTTTTTTGAGTCAGAGTCTCACTCTATTGCCCAGGCTACAGTGCAGTGATACACTTACTGCCGCCACAGCCTCGACCTGCTGGGCTCAGGTGATCCTTCTGCCTTGGCCTTCCAAATAGCTGGAATCACAGGTGTGTGCCACCTTGCCCGGCTAATTTATTTATTTATTGTAGAGACGAGGTCTCACCAAGTTGCCCAGGCTGGTATCAAAACCCTGGGCTCAGGCAATTCTCTCGCCTCTGCTTCGCAAAGTGCTAGGATTACAGACATGAGCCACCATGCCTGGCAGATGTTGATGGTTTTGAGTCTTTTCCATTCTAGTTTGATTTTTGTGTATTCTTGGCTGGAGTGTTAGATTTCTTCGCTGGAGATTTTTCTTCAGTTTCCTCATCATCAGAATCATCATCACCATCATCATCATCATCTTCATCAGCAGCGAGCCTTACTTTTTTTGGCAGAAACTTACTACCACCTCCAGGGGCAGATCACTTTCCAGATACGCTTAAGAGTTTTACATCCTCATCCTCTTCTTCTTCTGACTCTGCATCTTCTTTCACAGTTACTAAATGCTGTCAACTAATATGCACAGGCCCTGAACTGCACTTCAACTATAAGACCATGGGAAACTGTTGGCTATACAGACATTTTCAAAGTTGCCAGTGTTACTTTTCTGGGCTGCCTTCATAATTCATTGCCTCTGCTTCAACAACGTGCAATTCATCCTAGACTGACCGTTCTTATAGAGAACTCGTGCTCATTTTCATCATTATCCACCTTAAAGTGATAACCTTTGTCGGTCTTTAGTTCACAACTGAAAAGATAGTTCTGGCGCCTCAGGGGGCTCATGTCCACGTCCATTGAATTGTCCATGAGGTGGTGACACACACTTATGTGGGAGAGAAGGCAGACAGAGGTAAACGACTGCTGTTCCAGAGAACAGCTGCATAGGACGAAATCACACCCGGGTGACTTTGATTTTTTAATATTTGCTAAGAGTTGTCTTGTGGCCTAACATATGGTCTATCCTGGAGAACGTTCTATGTGCTGATGAGAAAAATATGTATTTTGCAGTGCTGGATTAAATGTTCTGTAAATGTGTTAGGTCCCTTTGGTCTATATGTAGTTTAAGCCTGATGTTTGTGTTGGTTTTTTGTCTAGATTGAAATATGGAATATCTAATCTGAAAAAACTATAAGAGCCTGTAATAGCTTGCTTGACATAAGTAACTCCATTTTGTAACAGATCTTCCATATTAACCTAGGAATAACCCCCTTATGTAACCTTCCGGCAATCATCCCGCACACCCACATTCCTGTACCTCTTGGTGGTTGGAAACTCCCTAGTTGTGTAAATTCTATAACCATCTATACCCCTTACTAATGGAATGTATTGCCAAGGAAATATCAATCAAACTGTACAACTTATGTAATTTTTACCTTTAAATACCCACTACTCACTCTGTTTGGGGCTGAGAGTTCTTTGGGACACTAGTTCGCTCTCGGTCACTGGTAACAATAAAGGACTCATAATTTGATCCTCTCTGCATGTTGGCATCGTTTCTCACAATCCGGGTACAACATTTTTGGAGGCCCCAGCAAGAAAATAATTCGCCAGCCAATCTGAGCAGCCACCTCGCTCCAACTCTCCCGGGCCTAGAGGTGAAGGGGAGGCACCTCCTAAAATTCTCAGGCCCTGTAGCCTCCCATCTGGCTCTGAGGGAGTTGGAACGACTGCTGGCAGCTATGGTGGCTCAGCCTGTAATCCCGCGGTTTGGGAGGCTGAAGTGAGTGGATTGCCTGAGCCCACGGGTTCGAGACCCGCGTGGGCAACTTGGTGAGACCTCATCTCTATAATAAAGATCAAAAAATTAGCCGGGTGTGGTAGTGCACGCTGTAGTTCCAGCTACTCAGAAGGCTGAGGCGGAAGAATCGCTGGAGTCCAGCAGGTCGAGGCTGCGGTGGCTGGGAGTGGCCACTGCACTCTAGTCTGGGCGACAGAATGAGACTCCAACTCAAAAAAAAAAAAAAGGCAGCTACTACTTCAAACGAATCTGAGTCTGTTTGTAATCTCCTGGGATGTAAGTTATTTTTGGTTTTCTGTTTGCTTGCTAGTGACCGCGGTTTCTGTTTTAGTTTCTGGTCAAGGGAGAAACAACCAGACGAGGTCGCCCTTCAGACACTATTCACAGAGCCAAGACATTGGCTGAATAGAGTCCCATTTTCTGCCCTGAGGTGTTCCAGGGATCCATAACTTTTCATTTTGGGTTAGATGTGTTATTCGTTTATCTGTTTGTTTTTGTGCTGTTTGTTGTACGTCATGGGATCTTAGCGTTCAAAGTCAGTCAGTTCTCTAGACTGTATGCTAAAGCATTTCTCTTGCATTTGCTGAGGACTACGGTTTCCGCCTCTCAAAAGGCAGACTCCGAACCTCTGTAACATAGATTGGCTTGGATTTGATGTGGGATGGCCTTCTACAGGGTCTCTGGATGTTAAGGCTACTGAATCTGTATCCCCACTTTCAGCATTGGATAGGGGGTAAAACAGGATACAACCCAGAGGAAGCTGAGGCTACAGGTAACAGGTTATGTTGCAACCTTTGCTGCAGGGAGAGGTGGCTTAGGCGAAGGAGGATCCATAATATGAGGATTAGTACCTCTTGGCCACTTAAGAGATGAAGAGACCAGGACTTGACTGGTGGTTTCAAGAGAACATGTCTTTAACCAGGGTGGTGGGTTCTGAATCAAACTTAGCCACTAATCAATGTAGAGGAACTGATCAGGATGGCCGGGATTCCCTGTTCACAACCTACCAAACAGATTCAGTGGGAATACCGAAGTTCCCAACTGTTACTGTATTGGTATCTAGCTCTCTCTAATAATATTTGCTTTATGTATTCAAATGCTCCAGTATTGGGTGCATATATATTTACATATATTTACAATTGTTATATCCTCTTGCTGAAATTATCTACCATTATGTAATGCCCTTGTCTTTTTGTTTTGTGACTTAAAGTTTATTTTGTCTGAAATAAGTATAGCTAATCTTGCATGTTTCCATTTGTGTGGAATATCTGTTTTCATTCCTCTGCTTTCAGTGTATTCAAATTTATAGGTGAAGTGAGTTTGAGTTTCTTATTGGTAACATATCGTTCGCTTTTTTTTTTAATCCACTAAGCCAGTCTATATATTTTAATTGGGGAGTTTAAACTGTTTACATTCAAGGTTGTTATTGACAGCAAGAATTTGTTCCTGTCGTTTTTTAAATTGACTTCTGATTGCTTTGAATGTCCTTTTTTCCTTTCTTTCTCTCGTATTGTTTTTGCCATTTAGTGGTTTTCTGTGGTGATAACATTTGATTACCTTTCTCATTTGTGTATCTGCTCTACCAGTAGGTATACTTTTGCGTGCTTTCTTTTCATGATTCCTTGCCCTTTCCACCACATCTTGCACAATACAAGTGCTGTGGTCAACCAATGCTTCCATAATGCCACTTAACATAACTGGAAAGTGATTGTGATGACTGGCTAACGGGGACAGTCTTTCTCATAAAACCAGCTCCCTTGAGCTATGTGGGTGTACTGAGGGCAGCAGGGCAGGTGGGTTCTGAGGGACAGCTCTGCTGTCCAACATGGAGCCCAGCTGAGGCTGTCATCAAGGGGAGCTCTCTGCTGCAGGCAGCTGGATGCCATGGAACACACCTGCCTAGGGGCCTGGGAGAAGATGGGGACAGGAGGAGAGAAAGGAAGTAGACTTATTGTTAAGGAAAACCAAGGAAGTCACTGTCTGGTTTGATACAGTGGTTTTACAGATTTTCTGTCGCTTTTTGCTTTTTAGAAAATCTCTGACCATAGGGAAGGGCCTGGTTGGCAACAACAGGGAAGCCAGAAAACTGGTCAAGGGAAAATGAGTTCTCTCTCCTCTCACCAGTGAACAGGAGACAAGGGAGCAGAATCTGGAAGGGATGCAGCTCAGGATGGGCTCGTGGCCCCTGCCTGAAATGGCATTTGCTTGCTGCCTTGATGTGGGGGTAGTTACATCCTCCATTTTTCAGAGAATCAGCATTTAAGGCTAGATACAATACAGGTCCAGACCTTTCCTGGCACTGCTACAAAGGAAGTGTGTGTCATAGGTAAGACAGCCTAGGGGAAAAGAGGCATGGGAAGAAGGGGTGGAAAGACTAATGGCTGTATACGAATCTGAGGGTTCCTTCTCTGTTCTTTTGTATACCACGGACAGACCCCAGGACAGGAATTCTGCAGACCAGTCCTGTAAACACTTTCTCTGGCATCTAAGGAGACTCTCATCTGAATTTGAGAGGCAGAAACTTGCCCAGCCTTGAGCAACTTCAGTGAGACTGGAATTCTAAGGTGTTGATATGTTGCTCAGCTGTAAGCTACCAAGTCTGTTGGACATTTGCATTCTAGCATTTTAATCCCTTGTCATGAGATTTTGACACTTCACCTCATTTTTGGAACTCCTGGGTTTTCCTGATAGAGGATCAAAATCTCAGCTCCATTCAGCAAAGTCAGAAGCTGCTGAGGGAGAGTTAATAGTCATTTGTTTATCATGGATCAATTGCTTAAGATCATGTATCTCCCTGACCTTGCTGGTCCACAGGGAAAAAACCCCACATTACTCCACATCTGGTTTTTCAGATATGCCATCCAGTTGCAAACCTGGGACTCTCCTCGTAAACATGGTGTCTACATATGTAGCTTACATGGGCACTCTCTACTCCATGGTACATCTTAAAGTTTTTGACCTAACGGGCTTCTTTTCCAAGCTGACCTGAACTCCTGGCAGGCATGACAAACTGCAGACATTTCCAGTGGGAGATAGCCTAGGGGATTTGCCAGGGGACATGCTTGTCTGAAGGCCTGGCAAGTTCAAAGCCCACCTCAGGCTTGCAACAGGTGAGTGATAATTTATACTGGGGATTGATTTTACTTTATTACATATAACAGAGAGAGCAAGCCTAGGGAAACTTTGGACTCAGAAAATTAACATTTCTTGAAAGATATAAGCCATTATGCTTGAAAGACCATAATATTGTTACTCCCCAACACCAGTTTGGACCTGAATTTTCCCTTCTCTGACCTGTGTGAATCAGTACCACCTTCCTCAACTACATAAATCACTAAGTGTAAAGTGTTCTGCAATGCCCAGCTGCAGGTGCAGTGATAATTGCTTGAAGCACATGATCTCAGGCACCCCAAGGCATTGCTGCTTAGTAGAGTCATATGCTGACTGCCTTCCAGAAAGACACCTCAGTAATAGCATTCTCCCGATCTATTAATATTTATTTTTTTAAAGACCGAAAGGAAAGAGAATTAAAACAACAATCCTTTCCATGGTGAGCAGCAAGGAACCAGGCCCGCAGGACCCAAAAAGTGGGCTTATGGCCAACAGGAGGATCCTAAGTGGGGACCCTTACAAAGGAAATGCAGACCAGGCTCAAAGTGCTTCATCCTTTGCTGAGAAAGTAATGGCATGAATAACAGTATTTCACTAGAAAAATTATCTGGCAATAAAGTTGTAGCTTGGAAGTTTCTGGAGTAAATCGAACTCCCACAGTCACCTTTGTCTGATCCCTCCCTCCTCTGGTGTTAGGTCTGTAGACTTCATTCCAATTGGTCTGCAAAGGCCCAATTTGGCTTTGGTCACAGAGTTTTGCTGCTTCTCCATCCCTTGTTCCTATTCACTGAAGCATCACTTCCTGGGAGTAGACCCGCTTTGTAATCAACCTAGAAAAGACTAGTTCAAATTTGGCTAGTGTGAAGTTCCTCAATGTTCCTTCTTTGGAGGTTTTATTAGAATAATTCCCTTCCTGACCTTTCCTTAGCTAACCTAATCCCAAAACTCTCAGCTCTAAGGGCAAATCTTAAAATGTGTTGCATGAGAAAGCCAAGAGAGAAAGCCAGTCACTCAACAAGTTAATCTAATTTAGAATAAAGCTATTAAAAGTGTCTATCTTGTTATACCTGAAAGAAAAAGGAGACTTAAATGTCAACTATCATTTAGAGCTATGAGTGAATTGCATTTTTATTTAAGAGTCTCTCTCCCTCCTGTGTTCAAGTGTGTGAAAGGCTCATACTTGGACTTAGTATAGACTCCTAGTGGGAGGAGCAGGGGATGGTGAAAAACCCCATCACACAGAAAAGCATAACCCAAATCTATTGAGGTTTCATAATTTTGCTCTTGCTTCTAAAAACACTGTCATCTCTCATGGGGTGTTATGTGCTTTATATTCTGACATTTTCCATTTGCTGCTTCTTGGTGTGAGAAGAGAAATGCCAGCATGTGGCATTGCAGAGGAAGACTGGTGGCAGCTGCAGTACCAGGCCTTCACTTCCCAGTGGCACTGATCCCAATTCCCGGGAACCTCCAGGATGAGCTGGAGGAGCTGGAATCCTCAGGATGTGGTTCTACAGCAGGCAGGGTGGGAAGTAAGCCTGCTCTGCCCTAGGTACCCAGGATGGCGCTGAGTTCTAAAAGGCGAAGAGGACGTGGTGAGGGGCCAGGCTGAGGCCCCTATGTGGTGCTATGGTGGCACCACTTGAGGACAAGCAGGGGAGGTGCACAGGACCCAGCCCCCAAGAGACGAACAGATTTTAACTGGGGCAGAGGGACCGATTCCAGGGTAAACAGGAAGGCTTCGGATCATCACAATGGCTGCTGACTTGGCATCAAAGATATGATGTCAAAGCCATAATGGCTGAGAATGGCACCAACATGCTGCAGCTGGAGAGAGTGGGTGACCAACATTTGTTTGAAGAACAGATGACGTTCTGTAAGTGGCTCAGCCAAAGCTCAGAGTTTCGCAGGAATACCTCTGCCTGATTAGCTTCTCTTGGACACTCTCCCATAAAAGCTCCAAGGCATTTACATAGCATATTTCTGTGTCCATTCTCTTGCTAGTCTGTTGTACCTGGAAGAAAAAAGCAGAGGGAATGACACCCTCACTTGACACGGTCACTTCTTTCAATGTGGAGCAGAGAACTGGATTGATGTAGGAGGTGCTGCTGCTGCTTCTTGTCAAACATTTAGGGCTGATGAATGAGTGGAATAAAGATTTACCCTGGAGCAGAAGCACATCAGTCATGGCTGTAAACGCCTAGCATGGTAGGTCTTGTTGGTTTTCCATAATTATCTGCTGTGGAAGATATAATAATGCAACAAACCTTCTCCCTTTCTTTCTCCTGGCCTACAGTATAAATGCAGGGAGGATAAAGAAAAGACACACAAAGGTCCAGCACACAAACTCCAGAACATGGACCTAGGAACCTGGCTACCTCAGTGTGAAACAGCGCCACTCTCAGCAGCCGGTTCACCTCTCCATGATCTGGCTTCTTTGATTGTTTACATGGGGAGACTCTCCAGCTGGTATGGTTGTGGGAAGGACTAGACAAGTCCGTATGTAAAGCACATGGAACAGGTGAACCTCCCTCCCCCTGAAGGCTGTGTGGGTGTGTGCATTTATCCTCAGTACTGTCATGAGATTTGATGCCATGATACTATAAATTAGAGAGATCTGCAGTTGAGACGAGCACTGGAAAAAAAAAAGCACTGAAAAAAATCACTTTTGGTATGTCTAAAATATCTCTTAAGTGTTTAAAAAAACACAGCGTGGTGCAGCAGCTCACACCAATAATCCCAGCACTGGGAAGCCAAGGAGGGAAAATGCTTGAGACCAGGAGTTCAAGACCAGCCTGGGCAAAACAGCAAGACCCTGTCTCTACAAAAATAAATAAATAAATAAATAATTAGCTGGGTGTGGTAGCACACACCTGTAGTCCCAGCTACTCAGGAAGCTGAGGTGGGAGGATCACCTGAGCCTAGCAGGTGAGGCTGCGATGAGATGTAATTGTGCCACTACCCTTTGACCTAGGCAAAAGAAAGAGACCCTAACTCTAACAAATAAATAGATACAATTTAAATTTTGGTCAGTTAAAAATTTTACATAAGATAAGGATTGTCAATAATGGGAAATGCGGGGAGGGGGTGGGATTGGTGGTAGTGAGATTCTGCCAGGAGAGGGGGGAACACCTCATCCACAAGAGTACCTGCATAATGAACATCTGTATACTTAACCCTGAATTGTACTCCTCATATTTAAAATAAAAACAAACAAAAATAAATAAATAAAAACTTTTTACTGTTATTCGGGAAACTCCAAAGGTCTTATGAAAAATATACTTTTGCTGGGCACAGTGGCTCATGCCTGTAATCCCAACATTTGGGAGGTAGAGGCAAGAGGATTGCCTGAGCTCAGGGGTTCAAGACCAGCCTGGGCAACATGGTGAGATCTCATCTCTACAATAAAGGAAAAAAAAAATTAGCCAGGCGAGGTGGTACGTGCCTGCACTTTTTCCAGTTACTTGGAAGGCCTGAGCCCAGCAGGTCAAAGCTGCAGTGGCTGTGACCATGCCACTGCACTCCAGCCTGGGCAACAGAGTGATGCTCCAACTCAAAAAGAAAAATATAATTTTTCTATAAAGGTCTTATGAAAAATATAATTTGAAAAAAAATTGCATTCTAATCTCTTCAGACAGAAGAGAATTAACTAACTAAAAGACTCCATGGAGATGTTCTTTAAAAGTGTTGAGTGCAGGCTGGGCATGGTGGCTCATGCCTGTGATCTCAGCACTTAGGGAGGCTGAAGCGAGAGGAATGCCTGAACCCAGGGTTCGAGACCAGCCTGGGCAAGTTGGTGAGACCTTGTCTCTACAATAAATTAAAAAATTAGCCAGGTGTGGTGGCGTGCATCTCTAGTTCCAGCTGCTTGGAAGGCTGAGCCAGAAGGATCACCTGAGCCCAGCAGGTTGAGGCAGTGGCAGCTGAGAGCATGCCACTGCACTTTAGCCTGGGTGACAGAAAAAAATTACCAAAAAAAAAAATCACAAAAGAGTGGACTGCAGTGTCATTTACAGGGCTGCAGCTCCTGCTGCCCTGGGCCCCTGCCATACCTGGCCCTTTCACACCATGCTATCAATACTCAAGAGATGAACACATGATGATTCCTTGTGTTTGCTCCACCAATCGCAAAGACACCCATGCTACAGTGCAAATGGTTGTGCCTGGCCAAGAGACTTGGAATTCTACAATTCTGGGTCTGGTAATTGGTGTTTAAATAGAGAGTTAGCTGGGCATGGTGGCTTATGACTATAATCCTAGCACTTTGGGAAGCTGAAGTGGGAGGACTGCTAGAGGTCAGGAATTTGAGATCAGCCTACACAATAAAGCCAGACCCACCTCTACATAAAATATTTTTTAAAAATTAGTCATTTGTATGTTGTGCATATGTAGTCCCAGCTACTCAAAAGACTTAGGCAGGAGGATTGCTTGAGCCCAGGAGGTTGAGATTGCAGTGAGCTGTGATCGTGCCACTGCACTCCAGCCTGGGTAACAGAGCGAGACTCCGACAAAACAAATAGTTGACAGTGAGGATCTGCTGGTGAAACAGCAACACACTGCTGTCTTCTGAGCCTCAACTAGCAAACTGACCACAGCAGTGTTTTCTGCCTTGACTGACCTTGGCCTCACCCTGGGTATATTCAAGCAGATGCCCCCTTGTCTTATATGCTATAAACCTTAGAATTTAATTCAGAATTTTCTTGTTGCCAGATTCTTCTGAGTCCACTCTTGGCTGACCACTGACTTTGCTGGCCTCAAGGGCAGGGCTTGCAATATATTAGGGTTTAGTAGCAGCAGCTGATGAGTTATCCAGGCGGGAAAATTGCTTTTATCTTCTTCTCCCTCTTTAGAGTCAAAGGACATGTCAGCGAGAGAGCCAGAAGTCCAAGCCCAGGGCAGACTTACTGAGCACATGGGCTCAGCATGGGCAGAGAGATGTCCGATGGAACCTGTGCAGCTCAGAATTACCAGCTCAGAGCAAAGGTACCACCTGGAGCTGCTTGGGGCAGCCATGGCACAAAGGCAACTCAAAGAGGACGCGTACTTCTCTCTGTCAGCCTTGTAGGTATGGGCTATTTCTGGCACCAAAGGGTCTTCAGGGTTGGGGTCGCAGAGCAGGGAGCAGATGGACAAGAGAACTGGGAAGGAAAGAAAAGATTGGTCAGCTGCAGCCATGAGGTGAGCCTCCTTCACCTCACATTCTATATGCACCAAGCGGCTGTCTTCCCTTCAATGTTTCAATCTAAATTGTCTGCTTGATGCTCCACTTGCTCTGCAAGTATCAGGCGAGGCAGTCTTCACTATGAACCTCACGGCGCGGCCTCAGGCATGCTGTGCTAGGACAGTCCCTCCAGGGTGTGTCCCAGCTTTCATTCCCCTTCTCCACTGAAATACCTTGTCTTAGCCTCCAACTGCCCCCCTGCTCCCTGCCACCTGCACCTATACCACGCCCCTTTGGTGTATGGTCCCAGAAGCCCTATTTCCTCATAAGGAAACAGGAGTTAGGAGCTCAGTGTAGCTCTCAGCAAACCTGGGGAAGGGAATACCCCATCGGGGCCGTGACAAGGAGCAGAAGGAACTGTGGTGCTTGGATTCTTGGGTCCCAGATAGAAATGTGAACTGTCATTCCTGGCTTTGTTCTTGATTCACTGCATGACTCCAAACAAACTGGATTCAACTAGTCTGTGGAAGTCCTGATCACCTGGTCCCCACAGTAAAGCTACAAATGGGAGGAGTAGGTTTGTCTTTCTTAACCCTTTCCCCATTTAACCAGAGGATACGCCCTAGTGATGCTTGTGGCTACAGAGTCTACCCTGAGATTAAAAAAAAAAATAAAGAGAGAATTATAAAATGTAGTGATTCTCCCTCTCTCTCTTTTTTTTTTTTTTAGTAATTGTTGTTAGGATTTAGAAATAACTCCAAGAACAGTTTTTATATTTTATTTTCACAGTGAAAACCAGTCAGATTTGCTTCAGCCTCAGAGTGTGCTTATGTAAAATTAACAGGTAATTAAGATACTCAACCCTGCCCTCCCCTCCACACGGTTCTGAGCTCAGAGGTTATCAAAGGAGGGCTGCTGACTCCTCTCCAGGATACTTAGGCTCGGCTGCCCTTCCTACCATCCCACTCTTTGAGTGTCCATTCCCTGCCACTTTACTTTTCCTCTTCCCTTCCTGATCCTATACCCCAGGCTCAGCATCAGGCCGATCCCAGAAGCCAGCAGACTGATGGCTGCCTCTGAAGCCCTTCGGCCTTGTGCTTCTCCCTGGCCTCAGGCAGTCGCATGAGGCTATACACTCAGGTTTTAACTTAGAGAGGTGCTATCTCAGTAGGCTATCAGATGCTTCCTGGATGCTTGAGCCTGGAGGGCCAGCTCTGTGCTCTGTCTCCGCAGGGATTTATACCACAGTGCAGGGTATAAGCTCTGTCCCTGGGTTGATCAAGCCCACTTCTGCAGGCCCTCTCTAGCCTTCCAAAGTCTGCCTCTGCCAGCAGCTCCAAGTGCCTTGCAGTCTCCCAGCTACCACTCACATTGCCTTATACTCCACTCTGTGTGTTTCTTAGGTTCTGGGACTGTTTCTCTAGGATTGATTTTTCACCATGCCAACCATGCTCCACCTGACAGAACTCTGTGCTGTCTACATTCACATCTCTCATGCACATGCAGCCCATGCTCAGCTCCCTTAGTTCAGAAGGAACATCTGAAAGGACAAAAGATGGAATTGATATAGCCAAAGAACAGCCATTTTAATGCTTAGCTCTGTCATGCTTTCTTAGCAAACTACCTAGCTTGCCCTCTAATCATTAACCAAGGGCAGAATTTGTTTCTCAAAGGTAGTTATTCATAATTGTCTTGCAAACTCCACCAGGTACTGATTACTTTGCTATTCCAAGTATTTGTCTTCCAACCATAAAAAACCAAGCTAACTTCATCTATTATAATCAACCCTTCATCCCACACAACACAAACAGACGTCATCACCATGGCAACAGTTATGTGACTAATCACCTATCTGCCTGCTGTCCATCACTGGCAGTATTGTGATGATGTAAACAGACCACCACCCAATCACCTTAAAGACCTACCCACACCAAAGGAAAGCCTTAAAAGCATTCAAACTCAAGCAGACACGGCCATGCTTTTGTTAAGTTCTGGTCCAGTCATACTTTTTGAGCTCCAGCAGTGCCATGCTTTTCTCTAAGCTTTGGACCCCGCCCTAATCTTCTCTCTCTCTCTCAAATCTACTTTCTAAATAAACTACATTTTCCAATCTAATTTCTATACAATTCTTTGCATCTTACCTGTGACACTGGCTCAGTATACTGGCCCATTCACCTAACAATTCTCACAACCTAACAATATATGCATTTCTTTTTTTTTTTTTGAGTTGGGAGTCTCACTCTGTCGCCCAGGCTGGAGGGCAGTGGCACACTCATGGTCACCACAGCCTTGACCCGCTGGGCTCAGGTGATCCTTATTCTTCTGCCTCAGCCTTTCAAGTAGCTGGAATTACAGGCATACACCACCGTGCCTGTAATTTTTTGATTTACTATAGAGATGAGGTCTTGCCAAGTTGCCCAGGCTGGTCTCGAAACTGTGGGCTCAGGCAATTCTCTCACCTTGGCCTTCCAAAGTGCTGGGATTATAGGCGTGAGCCACTACAACTGGCCAATATCTGCATTTCTAAAGCTCAATTTAGAATGGTTTCTTCAGCTTCATCCAGAGACATGCACAACATCATTTACTTTGGGGAGGGAAGATTTTTCCATGGGGCAAGGCCCTTGGCCCTGTATCTCTTCCTTCAGGGCAGACACACAGTCTGTGTTGTGCTTACTGGGTGAATTAACAAATGAGGGAACTGAGAAGATAATGTGATAGTTGCCTTTCTTACTTTTAGATAAAAAGTGTAAGTAGAATCAATATTTTCTTCCTGTACCCACATGACAGTCTTGAACCCCCCATAGTGGTTGGCTGCTGAGAACCACCACAGTGTGGAACCCTAGGTTCTGCTGATGCTGCCTCCTTGCAGTACAGGAACATTCTTATGGGCACAGTGGTGGGTGGGGCTGTGTGACATGGGAAAGGTGCCTACTCTCTTTGAGCCTCAATTTCCACCCAGTCAGCGCTAGGGTAAAACATGTGCAAGAGACACACAAAGCATGCTGTCAGCATCTCTACCTTTTGACACAGTCAGTGCTGGAGACCACTGAGACCGGAGGATGTCGAGGCAGATGCTGCCATTGCTGTTGATATTGGGGTGATAAATTTTGGTTGTGAAAGCAACCTGTAGAGACAAGAGATCCCAAGTGAGAAACACCAAAGGGATGTTTGGAAAGTGGACCAAATAAAGCAGAGTAGCCACTGCTGTGCTGTACCTGGAGTGTCTGCATACCTGGCCCTGCACAGTCCTGGGTGAGCTGGCCCTCTACTCCTAACCCCTAATAGGATACAGGAGGAAAACCCCTGACCTGAATTCTCATTCTGAACATAGGGGAATTGGTACCATCTACCCCAAAGTGGTGCACTTGAGGAGTAAAATGAGTGGTAAAAAAACAAAACAAAACTCAAAAGCCTGGAAATTCTCTGCAAAAAACAACTCTATTTAGGGACACAATGAGGAAACAGAGTCACCACCAGGAAACAGCCAGACAAAATTCACCTCTCATCCCTTGCTTAACTGCTGATTTTGGTCTAGCTAACTTGGATAAGACTTGATATTCCAGTCACCATTGGTCTAGGCCGAACATGAGGCATAGATGTTTTGCTGACACACAACATATCATCAGTAGACAAGCCCAGGCTATAGAACCCCTGCAAAGCCACAGACCCTCTCTCTCTTTCTATTTCACCCTTTGCAAGACCCCCCCTTCCCAGAATTTAACCCTCAAATACCTCTGCACAATTCAAATATGTAAAGATATTCAACTTTAGCAAAAGATATGAAACAACCTAACTGTCTTCCAGTTGATTACTGGTGAAATTCATGTTACATACGGCTGGCAGCAGTGGCTCATGCCTGTAATCCCAGCACTTTGGAAGGTGGAGGTGAGAAGACTGCTTGAGCCCAGGGGTTTGCGACCAGCCTGGGCAATTTGGCAAGACCTTGCCTCTACAATAAACAAAAAAAAAATTAGCCAGGCATCATGGTAGGTGCCTACAGTCCCAGCTATTTGAGAGACTGAGACAGAAGGATTGCCTGAGCTCAGCAGGTCAAAGCTACAGTAGCCACGAGCATGCCACTGCAATCCTGGGAGACATAGTGAGACTCTGACTCCTGCCCCCACCAAAAAAAAGGCTGAGCATGGTGGCTCATGCCCTGTAATCCCAGCACATTAGGAGGCCAAAGTAACTGCTTGAGCTTAGGAGTTTGAGACCAGCCTGGGCAACATAGCAAAACCTCATCTCTAACAAACAAACAAACAAACAAACAAACAAACAATTAGCCAGGTGTGGTGGTGCATGTTTGTAATCCCAGCAGGGAGGCTGAGATGAAAGGATCACTTGAGCCTAGGACGCAGAGGCTGCAGTGAGCTGTGATCTTGCCATTGTGCTCCAGCCTAGGCAACAGAATGAAGCTCCAACTCAAAAAAATAAAAATAAATAAAAAGAGGCTGGGTGCGGTGATTCATGCCTATAATCCCAGCACTTTGGGAGGCCAAGGCAAGAGGACTGCTTGAGCTCAAGAGTTCAAGACCGGTCTGGACAACATAGCAAGACAGTATCTCTACAAAAAATAAAAAATTAAGCCAGGCTCGGTGGCTCAGCCTGTAATCCCGCGCCTTTGGGAGGCTGAGGTGAGTGGATTGCCTGAGCCCACGAGTTCGAGACCCGCCTAGGCAGTGAGACCTCATCTCTACAATAAATAAAAAAAATCAGCTGGGTGTGGTAGCACATGTCTGTAATTCCGGCTACTTGGAAGGCTGAGGCGGAAGGATCGCCGGAGCCTAGCAGGTCGAGGCTGCGGTGGCCAGAAGTGGCCACTGCACTCTAGTATGGGTGACAGAGTAAGACTCCAACACAAAAATAAATAAATAAATAAATAAATAAAATAAAAAATTAGGTCGACTGTGGTAACTCACATCTATAATCCCAGCACTTTGGGAGACCGAGGTGAGAGAACTGCCTGAGCACATGGGTTCAACACCAGCCTGGGCAACCTGGCAAGACCTCATCTCTACAATAAATAATTTTAAAAAATTAGCCAGGCATGGTGGTGTGTGCTTGTAGTTCCAGCTACTTGGAAGGCTGAGGTGGAAGGATTGCCTAAGCCCAGCAGGTCGAGGCTGTGGTGGCCGTGAGCGTGCCACTGCACTCCAGCCTGGGCGACAGAGTGAGACTCTGGCTCAAAAAATAAAAAAAATAAAAAAATAAAATAAAATAAATGAGGTAAATTTAAAAAGAATGAATGTGATATGAAATAATGTCCAAGATGTATTACTGATGGGAAAAGCAAGATGCAGATTCACAGAAAAGACTGTTCCACACATAGGAAAAATAATGGAGCACATACAGGTGCTTGTATAGGCATAGCTTATGCCTGGAAGAGAAATAAAAAATAGGTAGGACTCAGTGCCTCAGGAGAGGAGACAAGGACTGAAAAGACAAAACATGAAGGTTCTATTTTCACTGTATACCCTCCTACCATTGGACCTTTTTTTTAAACCATAGCCACACATTACATCTACAAATGACCTTCCTGGTCCTCAAAGTCCTGCAATAAACAGGGACATGGTACCTATAACAGAGTTGTTGTGGCATCCATGGAGTCAGTTCCCTATGACATGCTTGGTGCAGCTTTCCCTGCTGCAGGAGCATGAGAATCAGGCTCATCTACGCCCCGACACATGGGCTAGGGCAATGCAACTATAATGATTTTGCCTCCTCCCCTTCTTCTGAGAACTCACAACTACTTCTCAGGCGCGATGGTGGATGGGCATCGTTTATTCTATCTATAATTGATTGCATGCCGAATATAGTATACAATAAAGTAGTGCTTTTTTATGGTTTGAACATCTATTGCCATATAATTTTTCCCAGAAAGAGACAAACTTCAAAAAGATCTCAGACATTAAGTACCTGCCTCAATATGTCCCATAAATGAGATCATGCAATCCTGCCAGATTCCTATTATTGTCAGAAAATTCTTGCCAAAACATAAATTCAGTTGATATTATTCCCCTGTGGAAGGAGATTTTTAAAAGACAGAAGCACTTCTCCTGAGTATCACTCTCACCTTTTAGCTCACATCTTTCCTTGTTAAAATAATCCAAACTCACCCACAGAGCTTACTTCTTAGTCTTTTTATAATAACCACTGTTTCGCTCTGTCCTTGGGCAATTGGGGATCTTGAAAATGCCCAGAAGACATTCAGGACTACATCAGTATCTGTTTCTTTTAAGGGAAATCCTCATCTGCTCACATGCTAATGAAGAAGGTAAACTGGAAAATTACTACTTTATAAGACACTGCCACAATCTCTCCACAGGGAAGGGGGTGGAGGTGGATCAGAGAACCATGAAGCATGTAATGCTTTTTCAGCCAAACCTCTCTAAACAGCAATTGTACTTGTACTGTAATGTGGCTGAGCTATTTTAGCATCCGTCACTGTCCTGCTCAGCACACCCCATGTCCCTGCCAACAGCTGGAAAGGTCTTCAGAACTCTGAACACATTTAACCAAGACTGATGGTCTCTGGTGGCAATGCATGGACAGACCTGTGGCTGGGTGAGCCCAGAAGGAACTTCTTCACACTGGCTCAGATACACAGCATACAAAACAGTGGTTAAGAGTCTGTCTCAGCCAGGCGCAGTGGCTCACACCTGTAATCCCAGCACTTTGGGAGGCAAAGGCGAGAGGACTGAGTAAGGGGACTGAGACCAGCCCGGGCAACTTGGTGAGATCTCATCTCCACAATAAAATAAGAAAAATTAGCTGTGTGTGGTGGTGAGCACCAGTAGTTCCAGTTACTTGGAAGGCTGAGGTGGAAGGATCGCCTGAATCCAGCAGGCCAAGGGTGTAGTGGCCGTGAGCGTGCCACTGCACTCCAGCCTGGGCAACAGAATGAGACTCCGACTCAAAGGAAAAAAAAAAAAAAGAGTCTAACTCTTAAACCAAGCCATCAAGGCCAAGTCAGGGTAGTAAGACACAGTGACATCATGATCCTTGGCTGTGGTTCACTGACATGGGACTTCTGAGTATGTCTTGCCAAAATGTACAACCTTAGTCCAATCCTGAGAAAACATGACACAAAAACAAAATGAGGGACATTTGACAACATAATTGTTTGATACTCCTCCAAAGCATCAAGGTCATGAAAGACCAGGGAAAACTGAGACACTATTACAGACTGATGATGAAAAAGACATAACAATAAGTGAGTGCTGGGTCCTGGAACACAAGGAGAACTTAGGGGAAACTTAAAATTTAAGTAAGGTCTCTAATCTGTAGCATCGTGACCTTTATTAATTTTCCAGTTTTGATCACTATAGTATAGTAATGTAAGAGGATGACATCAGAGAAAGCTGGATGCATCAGGAAAATACAAAAAGTCTTTGTACTGTTTTTGATATTTTTTTCTAAGTCTAAAATTGATTCAAAATAGGCCAGGCATGTTGGTTCATGCCTGTAATCCCAGCACATTGGGAGGCTGAAGTGAGAGGATTACTTGAGGTCAGGAATTCAAGGCTGCAATGAGCAATGATAATGGCACTGCACTCCAGCTTGAGCAACAGAGTGAGACCCTATTTCTTTGTTTTTTGAGTTGGAGTCTCACTGTCACCCAGGTGGGAGTGCAGTGGCATGCTCACGGCCACCACAGCCTCGATCTGCTGGGTTAGGGAATCCTTCCACCTCAACCTTCCAAGTGGCTGGAACCACAGGTACTCGCCACCATGCCCAACTAATTTTTCTTGATTTATTGTAGAGACAGGTCTCACCAAGTTGCTCAGGCTGGTCTCGATCCCCTAGATTCAGGCACCACCTCCCAAAGTGCTGGGATTACAGGAATGAGTCACTATATCCAGTCCAAGACCCTATTTCTAAAATAAAATAAATTCAAAAAAATTTTTTTTTTGGAGTCAGGGTCTCACTCTGTTGCCCAGACTGGATTGCAGTGACATGACCATGGCTCACCACAGCCTCAATCTCCTGGGGTCAGGCGATACTTCCACTTCAGTCTCCCAAGTAACTAGAACTACAGGTGTACATCACCACACCCAGCTAATTTTTGAATGTTTTTTGTTGAGATGAGGTCTCACTATGTTGCCTAGGCTGAGAAAGCTTTTTTCCCCCTTCCCCTTTTAACTTTTTTATTTTAAAGATGTGGGGTACAGTTCAGGGCTAGGTATATAAATTGTTCATTATGCAAGTACTCTTGTTGATGAGGTGTGCCCCCTCCTCCCCAAAAAGCTTTCTTTAAAAGGTGGTCACATCTAGGTTTGAATCCCACCCTCCACTATCCCTCAGTTTACAGAGGATATGTTCACTTTCTTCTCTAAGCCTCAGTTTCCTCATTCACAAAACAAAATTGATATTTTAATTTTAAAAAGGATAGCAAAATGTATACATTGGTGTATGTAGAAAAGCCTGGAGGAGTGTATACCAGATGCTAGTCATGGTCTTCGCTTAGTGTGTAGCAGATTGACTTCCATCAGCACATTTAGTTCTCTGTTTTTCTTTATTTTTTTTTTTTTTTTGAGTTGGAGTCTCACTCTGTCACCCAGACTGGAGTACAGTGGCCACTCCCGGCCACTGCAGCCTCGACCTGCTGGGCTCCGGCGATCCTTCCACCTCAGCCTTCCAAGTAGCTGGGACCACAGGCATGTGCTACCATTCCTGGCTAATTTTTTGGATTTATTGTAGAGATAAAGTCTCGCCAAGTTGCCCAGGCGGGTCTCGAACCCACAGGCTCAGGTAATTCACTCACCTCAGCCTCCCAAAGCGCTGGGATTACAGCCTGAGCCACTGAGCCCAGCTTGTTTTTATTTTTCAAGAACGGTCCTGGAGCAGCGTGAAGAAGAAGAGGCAAGAACGACCCCCCGGACCGACCAAAGCCCGCGCGCCACTCCATCCCCACATCCAACACCTTAGTTCCGCTGCCATCACCACCATGCCCAAGAGAAAGGCTGAAGGGGATGCTAAAGGAGATAAAGCCAAGGTGAAGGACGAACCCCAAAGAAGATCTGCTAAACCTGCTCCTCCAAAGCCAGAGCCCAAGCCTAAGAAGGCCCCAGCTAAGAAGGGAGAGAAGGTACCCAAAGGGAAAAAGGGAAAAGCCGATGCTGGCAAGGAGGGGAATAACCCTGCAGAAAATGGAGATGCCAAAAAGGATCAGGCACAGAAAGCTGAAGGTGCTGGAGATGCCGAGTGAAGTGTGCATTTTTGATAACTGTGTACTTCTGGTGACTGTACAGTTTGAATACTATTTTTTATCAAGTTTTATAAAAATGCAGAATTTTTTTTTTAAGCTATGTTGTTAGCACACAGAACACTTCATTGTTGTTTTTTGGGAAAGGGGCATATGTCACTAATAGAATGTCTCCAAAGCTGAATTGATGTGGGGAAAACACCTTTCCCTTCTAGTTTTAAGAGACTTCCTCTTGGCTTTCAGGAGGAGGAATACTCCGACTTTGACACACATAGCCACCTTGGTACAGACACCTTGTAGTGTGGAAAAACATTCATTTTTTATGCCCTCTTCTCCCTTTCTGCCTTCAGCATAGACTTAACTCCCTTAAACCCAGACATCTGTTGGGACCTGACCCCCAATAATTGGTTACCAGTATGTCAGTGATGCCACTGAGATGTCACCCCTCATAAGAGCAGCCACAATCGTTTATAGATTGTGATCTTCAGACAAATTCTGCCATTTTCATTTCATTTCCTGAAAGTCAGGGTCAGCTTGTGAAAAGTTGTCAAACAACATGCTAAATGTGAAATGTCAACCCTCACTCTAAACTTCTTCCCTGTTCAGAGCATCAAATGAAGACTTCATTGGGTTTTTATAGTGGCTTTCTGATTTTGGTAGTCCATTAAAGAAGGGAGTTTGAAAGTTGTTGTATACTGTTAAAGATTGTCTGCCCATGTCCTGCCTGAAATACCATGATTGTTTATGAAAAGTATCTTTAATAAAGCTGGATACAGTTTGGAAAAAAAAAAAAAAAAAGAACAGTCCTATTGCAATATAGTTCTCTATTTGATAATAATGAACTTTAACAGTTTTGCAATCATAAAAAAAGATGATAAAGTGATATGACTCAGCTAGGTGTGGTAGCTTGAGCCTGTAATCCCAGCACTTTAAGAGGCAGAGGCAGGAGGAATAACTGAGCCCAAGGGTTCAAGACCAGCCTGCCCAACTCGGTGAGACCTCATCTCTACAATAAATCAAAATATTAGCCAGACGTGGTGGTGCACGCCTGTAGTTCCAGTTACTTGGAAGGCTGAGGCACAAGGATTGCCTGAATCCAACAGATCGAGGCTGAGGTGGCCGTGAGTGTGCCACTGTACTCCGGTCTGGGTGACAGAGTGAGACTCCACCACCTAACACCCCAGAATCCACCTTTTCTCCCTACCTCCATGTCACTGGCTGTGTGTTACCATGAAGCCTCCCCTGACTGGGGTCCCTGCCCAGCCTATCCTCCACAAGGCAGCAGAGTGATCCTATCAGTATGCAAAGCCCACTGAATCACTTGTCTGTTAGTCCACCTGTCAACACCCATGCCACGGCCATGCAGACCCTACTCCTGGGGCCATACCCTATTGGCCTCCTTCCTACCCCCACACAGGCTTGCTCTCCTGGGGCAGTTCCCTGTGGACCCCTCCCTTCCCTTACTGAGCTTCCACAGTGTCCTCCTCCCAGGTTGAGCTCCCCAGCAACCCTGGCTTCTTCTGCCAGTCACTCCTTGTGCTCCTACTCAGTGCTGACTAGCTCACATACTAAACGTCCTGTCTTTTCACAGGACTGTGAGCCTCAGGACAACAGGATTTGTCACATATGTGGAGCCCAAGGGAGACACAGTACGAGGCATAATGATCCAGGGAGCAAGATGACCTGCAGACAGGAAAACCCAGCAGTGTACAAGACATGTGGGGCTGGATGGTCGAGGCAGCTCCCCCAGACTCTGCCCTCTTTTGGTGACACTGTTCTCTGAAGCTCCACCAATGGGATGGTGTGTGTGTGAAGTACGAAAAAAGGACTGATGTTCTTTTAACTTCATAAAGATATTTGAAAGTGTGAGAAATGATTTTTTCTTCTGAGTTGGAGTCTCACTCTGTTGCCTAGGTTGGAGTGCAATAGCACACTCATGGCCACCATAGCACCAGACTGCTGGGCTCTAGCGATTCTTCCGCCTCAGCCTTCCAAGTAGCCAGAATTACAGGCACACATTACCGCACTTGGCTAATTTTTGATTTATTGTAGACACGAGGTCTCACCAAGTTGCCCAGGCTGGTCTCAAGCCTGCGGGCTCAGGCAATCCACTCACCTCAGCCTCCCAAAGTGCTAGGGTTACAGGCTGAGTCACCGAGTTCAGCCAAGAAATGATTTGCCAGGATCCTGGTCCAGGGTCTGACACCAATATCTTAGCACTACTGACACTCAGAGCTGATCATTCTCTGTCATGGAGAGGAAGATGTCCCATGCACTATAGGGTGTAGAGCAGAATCCCTGGCCTTTGCTCACTAGAAATCAGTAGCAACCCCCCAGTTTTAACAATCCCAAATAACCCAGGATGTTGCCCAAATGTCCTTGGGGCAGGTGTAAAACCATCCTAGTTAAGAACTGTTTTACACTGTAAGTAAGGGACTGCAAAGAAAGGAGCCAGAGCCTGAAGACATGACCAGACGCAGCTACAGGCACAAGGAACATCACTAGAATTGTAGCCTCAGTAAGGAGGCCAGCAGCAACTCACCATACTGACCCTTGCTCACAACAAGAACTAATTCCCAAAGTCCCGAGGTTAAAGTCCTGGGAAGCTGGCACCACAGGGTGAAGTGGTGGGCCCTTGGCGAAGCCTCACATACAGCTCTCTCCACTAGTGACCTAAAAGGCCCCTTGTCACATGCTGTCCTTCATCCAAACATCAGGAGACTTGGTGGGGGGGTGCTCACCTTTGGGGGCTTGAAAGGATAATCCGTAGGAAAGTGAATGCTCAGGAAGAAAACACCTCCTTGGTAAGGACTGTCATTCTGGAAGGATGAAACACAGACAGAGATCAGTGTGTATGCTAAGCACAAAATGCAAGAAGCAAAACTGGAGCGGTGTGCTCAGCAGCTACTACCTACCGGGCCCATGATGGTGGCCTGCCAGTGGAACACTACAAGACAAAAGAGAGATGGGCATGTAAGAGACCCCAATACACATGTCTAACCTACTGAAAAGGCATTGCTAAATTTAGAGGGCATTGCCCACATAAGAATTCTGACACCAACTCCAAGTTTGGGGTTTCCAAAACCATACTCAGATTCGAGAACTTCCTAGGACTCCTGGAGCTCAATGAAACCTGTTGTGCTCATAACTGCAGTTTATTACAGGGAAACAATACAGATTAGCATCAAGAGGGGTCCAAATGCAGAGCTTCCATTATTCTATCCCCATGGAGTCAGAATGTGTCACTCTCCTGGCATCAGTGTGTGACAATACATACAGAGAACTGACAACCAGAGATGCTCACTTAAGCCTCAGTGTTCAGAGTTTTTATTGAGGCTCTACCCTGAGAGCATGACTGATTGACTGAGTGCCCAAAGGGTTGATCTCAGTCTTCAGTCTCCAGCAATGACCCAAGCCACCTCCTGAGACCACATGGTTGGTTTATCTGGCATGGCCAGTGCTCACCCTAAATCACACTGTTGGTGTGGGTCAAAGCCTCCAGGTAAACAAAGACATTCTTGTCAGGTATGATATCTTAGAGATCCCTCTCAAAAATTTAGGATGAAGGCCAGATCTTTTTTGAGCAAGATTAAATTGTTACACAGGTGCCAGTAACTATACCTCAGTCCTTTCTTTTCACAGAACTAAGCCTTAGCTAGGCTTCAGCCACTTCCTCTATTGCTCTTTACAACCCCCTTCTATTCCTAGTTCTTCCCTCAATTCACTCTGAGGACCTCTCCAAAGAGCCTCTCTCAGGAGCAAACTATCAGTGGCCCTGGAGTCTCACTGGTGCCGCCTCCATCTGTGTCCTCTTAAGCACAGCCCCTGGGCAGTGCCCTGTGCTCCAAGAACTCAATGAAAAGGCCATGAAGAGCCCCTCTTGTTCTTCCCTTCCAGGTCCCGACCACCTGGGGTGGCCAGATGGCTCCCCCACCAGTGTTCAGAGCTTCCTCTTCTGCATGTCACACTTGGTACCCTCCCCAGTGTCTCAGGTTTCTTGTCCTGCTCTACCTACCTGTCCCTAGAACAGTTCCTGTGTATTCCGTGAGGCTAGCCCAGAGTGGAGCAAACACTTGTGTTAAAGATTCCCAAGTCATATGAATGTTCCCAGGGCAACTGACTCCAGAGCAACTGACTCCAGAGCCTTTGTGGAAAATGCCTACTCACCCACAAGACTGGGTTGTGAGACCAACTGAGGGGCTTGTAATTTTCAAGAGAATTCTGTCTTATATGGATTCATAATGGGTGTGGAATTAGCCCAAGATTTCAGACCTGCTCCTGTCCTGGGTTTCCTGTCACCTGTTTAAATACCTTACAACTCTACTCCTGATAGCAGGACCAGGAAAGCACCATGGCATGGGGTGGGGGACAAATACAGGGACTAAAGCAGAAGTTTCCAAAACCGCCAGAGGTACACAAAGGCAGTTAAGGTGGCTCAAGAGCCCTTTTCAATTCTTCACTGAAATGCTGCTGAAGAGACTACCTTTACCTGCAATGAGGCTGTCTGAGCTAATGCAAATATAACTTCATTTGCTTTTTAATGTTTTTATTCCAACTCATGCTAAGCATTAGTTGGCAGGTAGATACACACTTGCCTAATAATAACAAGAATAGGATTCCTTACTAAATAAAAATGTTTTTGGTAATGAATAGGAGGTTAGGATCCTCTGGTCTTGTTCATTTTAATCCTTGAGGGCTTTTGGTGTGCTGAGCAGGGCTTGAGGGCACAGTAAGAAGAGAAAGCCCAAGAGAGAGGATGAGAAAGGAAAGATAGGAGGGATGCTGGAAAAGAGTTGTTTGCCCACGGGGCAAGTATGAAATGGCCGCCAAAAGGCTAGCTAGCTTCCAAGGCTGTCTGAATCTCATCCATGGAGGTACTGATTATGGTAAGTGGCCTTGATGCTGGCCTCTCCAACAGCGACAGCTGCTTCTACTGCGGTACCAGGTAAGCAAGAGTGAGCGTGAACAGAGTCAAGCATCGAGGAGCTGCTTCTAGACAGCTAAGGTTGAGCTAGAACCTGTTCAGTCTTACAGTGACCCTAGTTTAATTTGATATTATCTTAAGGGTCAGACAAGAGGGGAAATATGGGGGCTAATGAAGACAACATGAGGTAAATGTGATTAATGAGGAGCAGGGAGACGAGTAATTACAAGGAGACAATGGAACAGAGTCACCCTTGTTTGTTATACTCTGTACAGGCAACTGAGAATCATTTCCAATCTGCTCCAAAAATGAGATTTAAACTCCCACATAAAACCTTCAGTGTACTCCATTCTCAGTGGCTCCATCTGCCTACCCTTGGCTCCTCAAAGCCCAAGCCTCTCCCAGGACATGTGGGCACACATGTGACACCATCCTCCATTTATTCCCCCCGCATTGTAAAGTTTCTTTCTTTACTGTAGATATTTACATATATAGTAAAATATGCAACTTAAACCTTTAAGTGTACAATTCAGTGGCGTTATAAGTATTCACAATGTTATGCAACCATCACCATTATCCATTTCTAAAACTTTTCTAACACCCCAAAAAAATTCTGTACCCATGAACCATTTTGTCATCCCTTCAGCCTCTGATAACCACTCTTCTGTTTTCTGTCTCTATGAATTTGCCTAGTTTGGACACCTCATATAAGAAGAATCATAGAACATTTGTCCTTTTCTTTTAGCTTATTTCACTGGGCATGTTTTCAAGGTCCATTCATGTTGTAATGTGTATCAGAACCACATTTTGTTGATCTATCATTCACTGATGGACACATGAGTTGTTACCACCTTCTGACAATTGTGAATAATGGTGCTGTGAGCACATTCTGTCTGAGTCCCTTTTTCGATTCTGTGGTATATGTACCTATGACATCACCACCCTTTAACACATGGTAGCTCCCCTTCCCATCTACTTTTCCTACAGCTGCAGCTACTGCAGCCTCCTAGTGAAGAATGGAGGCAAGGTGGTTGAGCAGAGTATAGATGTGGAAACCCTAGCGCTGGGCAGCTCAGCTCAGGGCAGTACCTATGAGGGGGCAGCAAAGGGCTGGCACCAGTGCTGCTTTTCCTTCTAACCCTCTCTGCAGCAGCTACCCTGGCTGCTTCTTTAGTCTTCCCCAGGGAAGAGCAGAAGTGGGAGAGATGACTAGGTACTGCCTCTCCCTTTGGCAGAGGCAGGCAGCCACTGCCCTGGCCCCCATGGCTCTCTTGTTCCCTTTCCAGGTGCTGCGACAGCACCAGATCCTCTAGACTAGCTCCAGCAATGTTCATACCAGCACCAAAGACCGCCTTGGCAGGGGTGCTTTCCAGAAGCTGATGTGATTCCTCAGGCTGAGCTGGCTTTCTCATGCCCCAGAAGAGGGAGGCCATACCTCTGGGAGCACAGGTTTCACCTTGAGTATAACCTGACCAGCCAAGCTACTGTGAACTCAAATGAAAACGCAATTTACAAGCAAATGAGGGAAAAACAACGGATTGGTTCTTACACGTTGCTTGGCTGATAAATGTGGGGGTCTTAATTGCAATGCTCCTGCAATGTGAAGCCCTGAAAAATACTTACGATCATCACCCACAGGTCCCGCGGAACACTGGGCAGGAGGATCCCTCTGCAAGTCAGTTAATTCCTAAAACATGAGATAGTGGGTCAGAGCTGGTGTGTGCCTGGGGATGCTGCCTCTACACACCAATCCTGGTAGCCAGAATGAATTCTCCTGGTGGGAGGGGGCTCCTAGGCCTCAGGCGGGAGTTGGAGATGAGGCAGGTCAAGGGAGTCTATTCCCTGCTGTGAAGATACCAGAGAAATAGGTACTACAATTCCCATTTTATAAATTAGGACATTGAAATGTAAAAACATGAAGTTACCTACCCAAGGGTACAGAGCTGGAAGGCGGCTGGGCAAGGAATCAGTCACATGTAGATCTGCTTTACTCCCAAGCCTTGCCTTCCACCTGCTCAGTTAGAGGATACCCTCTTGCACCCCAGGTACTCAAAAAATGGAAGAAAAAGAGCCCCAGGAGAAGGGTAGATGCCAGGTTTCAACTCTGGGCTAATGAATTATTGCGTGGAAGCAATCAGCATGAGGAAGCACTCAAACAAGGACAGGGCCTTGATGTTTCAATCTATCTCCCCTCCAACCATCCCAGTCACCCTACCCACCACTGGGTGTTTGGCAAGTCCTAGGGCTCTGAACATGGTGACTAAGGGCATCAAGTCAAAGTCTAACACTGCCACCAGACACACCAATGTGGACTAGGAATTACACCCTTAACTAGATTCCCATTATGAGAGACTAACTCTGGTCAGAATAATTAAAAATGATCCTGGCCCAGGTCAGGATCATAATTAGATTCCCTTTATGGGACCCAACTCTGGCCACAATGCTTACAAATGACCCTGGCCCAGCATAAGCCTCAAGACCTAAGATTTTGGGGACTGATTCTTAAACTGTAGTTTGCATGTATGAGAATGTTTCCTTACACAGTATTTCTTATCCTCCCCAAGTTCCACATCTTAGTAAACTTGTTGGAGTTTTCATAGAGGTTCCAAAAGGAAGAAATGAGGTACAAATGATGATATATCATGTGCCAGGAAAACTCTTCAGGGGATGGCAAACCCCAGGGTCTGGGTATACATACAAAGTTCACACCTGGCTGATGACATCCCTCCTTCCTGAATTAAGCCTAAAGCTGTCCCCACAGACCCTCCTGCTCTCACCATATGTCTCTGGGCAAGCAGATCAATATAGTAATCCCCACCTCTCTGGCCATCTGTATTCATCCCACTTCTCCCAAAGTTAATCAGCTGTTATGGGAGTATTAATACCATAGAAGTCAGCAAATGACACAAATCAAGGCCATCCCTGAATTGTACCCCACATCTTTAAAATAAAGGAAAACAATTAAAAGAAAAAAACAAAAACAAATCAAGGCCATGTTTTCTCCCTGAGGGTTGATTTTTAAACAGCTACCAGTATGTCACTGACCAATTCTCAATTAGTATCTAATGTATCTGAACTCATTTCCCCACAAGTAAAATGAACTGTGTTCGGTAAGCACTCGGTAATCAAAGTAAAAGTTAACCTAGGCAACAACTGAGGTCATGAAAGAGGATTACAGGACACACTCAGAAATGCAACATAGCTACAGAAATCTCTGCAGAACAGTTCCTTTTTGCTTACCTCTCCACTCTGTGCCCCTCAGCACCTCCACTATCACTCTACAGGGGAATCATTTATTTCTATTGGGATGCTGCATGAATGAATGAGCTCTTTGATGAAAAGACTGTTAAGGCCAATCCTGAACAGTAAAGAGCAAAAAAAGCCAGCAGTACAGGCCAATTTCCTTCTAGCTCACAAGGTTTTCCCACACCTCCATGTTTTTGTACTGCCTGTACTCAGAATCCATGTTTGGGTGTGATGAACAGTTGTACTAGGTCTTAACAATTCCTGAAAGGCCAGAAGTGGGTCCCTATTAATAGATACCCCAGGAGTTTTGAATGCTAATTGGCATTTCAAAGAATGGTGTGACTTGAAAGAAACTGGGCTGGGCACAGTTGACTTATGCCTGTAATCCCAGTGCTTTAGGAGGCCAAGGTCAGAGGCTTCCTTGAGGCCAGGAGTCTGAGACCAGCCTGGGCAACACAGTGAGACCCTGTATCTACAAAAAAATAAAAAATAAAAAGAAAGAAACTAATCCACTCATATATCACATGCCTGTGGTCACTTAATAGGGCTTACATCTGAGTCCAGCTCCATCACTGAAAAAACTACTTTCACCTTTTTGAGCCTTAGTATAATTATCTGTTAAGTTGTAATTACACTTTCTTGATAACTTGCCTGCACTACTGTGTGGATATAAATTTTATATTTACATTTTTAACATATATAATGTATGCAAATGCAGCCTGCAAATATCAAGGACAACAGCATATACAGGATGCCAACATTTCTACAAGAACACTTAAAAAAATTAATAACACTGGTTTCCTCTGAAATAGATGGCTGGGGACAGGCTTGGGTAGGAAACTTTTCCCTGTATATCCTGTGTGTGTGTGTGTGTGTGTGTGTGTGTGTGTGTGTGTGTGTGTGTGTTTTTGAATCAAAGTCTCATTCCGTCACCCAGACTGGAGTGCTCATGGCCACAGCAACCTTAACTTGCTGGGCTCAGACAATCCTTCCGCCTCAGCCTTCCAAAGTAGCTGGAACTAAAATATTTTATTATTAATTGTTAAGGGCTATGTAGGTTAAGGTTGTATAATAATTACTGTTACAAGTAATAATGATAAAAGTGAAGAGTGCCAAAAAAGGGAAAGAAGGTTAAAGTACCAAGTATCACAAGAGAAAAATAGTTAAACTATGGTATACACTCAGTTCTTTTACTGTGTTTCATCAAATCCCAGACTCCATCTTTGTAAAACACAACTTTACTTTATGTACAACTAAAAAGGAAAACATACTGCCAATTAGACTAACATAAGGTTGGGTGCGGTGGTTCACACTGGTGATCCTAGCACTTTGGGAAGCGGAGGTGAGAGGATTGCCTGAGCTCAAAGGTTCGAGACCAGCCTGGGCAACTTGGTGAGAACTCATCTCTACAATAAATCAAGAAAAATTAGCCGGCCTTGGTGGCACATGCCTGTAGTTCCAGCTACTTGGAAGACTGAGGTGGAAGGATCACCTGAGCCCAGCAAGCTGAGACTGTGGTGGCTGTGAGTGTGCCACTGCACTCCAGCCTGAGTGACAGAGTGAGACCCCTACTCAAACAAACAAAAAAAAATATATATAGATGACATCAAAAAACTGCATTTTATTGGTAGTTTCCAAATTTCCTGTAAAGTATATGTGCTGCAAAATATGTTTTAAATATATGTCAGATTCCGAATCGAAAAAAAAAAATTTTTTTTTTAATTTTTATCCTATTTTTTTTTTTTTTTTAGTTAGAGTCACTCTGTCACCTAGGTTGCAGTGCAGTGCCACACTCATGGCTACCGCCTGGACCTGCTGGACTCAGGTGATCCTTCCACCTCAGCCTTCCAAGTAGCTGGAGCTACAGATTCACGTCACCCACACCCAGCTAATTTGTTTAACTGTAGAGTGAAGGTCTTGCCAAGTTGCTCAGGTTGGTCTTGAACACCTGTGCTCCAGCAATCCTCTTGCCTCCACCTCACAGAGTGCTGAGATAACAGGTGTGAGCTACTGCACTCAGCCAGTGACAGAAATATTTTATCAGTAAAGTGAAAAGCTCATATAAAAACATTAAATATATAGCTGGCTGCAGTGGCTCATGCCTATAATCCCAGCATTTTGGGAGGCCAAGGCAGGATGATTGCTTGAGCCCAGGAGTTTGAGACCAGCCTGGACAACACACCAAGACCTCATTTCTACAAAAAATAAAAATAAAAAAATTAGCCGGGCATTGTGGCGTGTGCCTGTAGTTCCAGCTGCTTGGGAGGCTGAGGCAGAAGGATTGCCTAAACCCAGGAGGTCAAGGCTGCAGTGAGCTGGGATCATGCCATTGCACTCTAGCCTGGACAACAGAGTGAGACCCCAAGTCAATAAATAAATAGATAAAATAAAATAAAAACATGCCACTCAGGTGCAGTGGCTCACACCTATAATCCCAGTACTCTGGGAGGCCGAGGTGAGAGGATTGCCTGAGCCCACGAGTTCAAGACCAGCCTGGGCAACCTGGTGAGACCTCATCTCTACAATAAATCAAGAAAAATTAGTTAGGCATGATGGTGTATGCCTATAGATCTAGCTACTCGGAAGGCTGAGGAGGAAGAATCACCTGAGCCCAGCAGGTCGAGGCTGTAGTGTCCATGAGCGTGCCACTGCACTTCAGCCTGGGTGACAGAGTGAGACTCCAACTCAAAAACAAACAAGCAAACAAAAAACAAAGATATGCAAAGCCTTCAAAAACTTTTTTTAAAAACGGAATAAGTTGGTTGGCAAGAGTTGTGGGTTGGAAGCTAAGGGGGCAGCTGGTGGACAGTGGACACTACACTTCTGTCTCAGACCCATGCACTCCTTCTACCTGCTCAGTACCCACCCTTTCCTCCTTTCTGAAGAACTCCTGTTCAGTTCTGTTAACTCACCCTCGGCTCTAGGTCTAAGAGTAGCCAGACCCATTGCCATCTATTAGTTCAGGAATGAGCATTCGACTTAATTCACAAGGAGGCAAATGAAGAAAAAAGATTTGCTGGGCTTTTTGAGAACATTCTCATTAGTTAGTTCTTCTGGAGTAATTGTCTCTTCATCCATCTGCCCAGTGGGCTGTGTAGCACAGAGCAGCTCAGTCCAGAGCCTCACAGGAAAACAGGAGCAGGGGAGAGAGGTGGGTGAACTGAGTTGTTCCCTAGGTCCTGCCATAAGACCTCCAATTCTGTGTGCAAGGGTAGCTGGACCTCTGTCACTTGCAGCCAAGGGAGCCTAACTGGTGGTGGCCCAACGGTGCCACCACTGTAGACTTACCATACTTTTTTTTTTTAAAGACAGTGGAGCGGTATGATCATAGCTTACTGCAGCTTCAAACTCCTGTACTCAAGCAATCCTCCCGCCTCAGTCTCCTTGACATACTAGAAATTAGTATTGCCTATAGTTCTGTTGTTTTTTTCTAGGATTTGCTACATAATTTGCAGGGTCCCATAATTTGCAAAATGAAAACGTGAGATCTCTAGTTCAATAATTTTTAAGAATTTCCTGATGGTGATGGCAGAGCATAAAACTAAGGGAAGGACCCTTCTAAGCATGAGGCCCTGCAAAAGTGACTGCGTCACATACCCATGAAGCCACTTCTGGCTTTCTTCCTATCCTTGATTCCTATCAAGGAAAGTGTTCCCTGGTCTTAAAGCATCAATTACCATGGATCTATAGTTGACATCTCATCATCAAGGCCCAAACTTGTTTCTCCAAGTCCTCCTTTTTCTAAATCCTATCAGCCTACGTGTTCAAACATGTAGTTTCAAACCTATACACCTTATCTCCCTTACTATGCTCCCTGCCTTCAAAACTTCTGATTCCCCATCCTAGACAATGATATTACCATCTACTAAATGACTCATCCTGTGCAACTCCTTGTCTCACTTTTGCCACATCCTCTTTTCAAGTCCTGCCAATTCCACTGTTTTGGTCTGGTAACCAGTCCATGGTCATTAACTTGGGCAAAGCCTTTGCTGGACTTTCATAATAGATTCTATTCTTCCTCTGCCCCACTTTATGCCGCACTACAGCCAGAAGTATCTTTTTTTTTTTTTTAATTCAGGGTTTCACTCTATTACCCAGGATGGAGTGCAGTAGCACATCCCAGCTCACTGCAGCCTTGGACTCCTGGGTTCAGGGGATTCTTCCACCTCAGGCTCCCGAGCAGCTGAGTCTATAGGCTCGCACGACCACACCTTGATTATTTTTTGCTTTTTTTGTATAGATGAGGTCTTGCTATGCTGCCCAGGCTGGCCCCGAACTCCTGGGTTCAAGCAATTCTTCTACTTCGGCCTCCCAAAGTGTTGGATTATAAGTGTAAGCCGCCAGAAGTATTTTATTTTATTTTTATTTTATTTTTGAGTTGGAGTCTCACTCTGTCGCCCAGGCTGGAGCACGGTGGCACGCTCACGGCCACCACAGCCTTTACCTGCTGGGCTCAGGCAATCCTCCCACCTCAGCCTTGCAAGTAGCTGGAGCTACAGGCACATGCCACCATGTCCAGTTAATTTTTTGATTTATTGTAGAGATGAGGTTTTGCCAAGTTGCCCAGGCTGGACTTGAACTCGTGAACTCAGGCAATCCTCTCACCTCAGCTTCCCAAAGTGCTGGGATTTATAGGCGTAAGCTGCCTCTACCGGCCAGAAGTATCTTTTTATAACACAGATCTCAGCATATTTTTTAGAAAATAACTCATCAAAATTGTTTCTCTTTTGGACAGCTATTTATAAAAAATGAATCATACTCTTACAGATCCTATAATTCCACCTCTGGCAATCAAACCTAATAATCTGATTTAAGGAAAAGATTCAGTCAGGCGCAGTGGCTCATGCCTGTAATCAGGCGTGAAAGGCGAGAGGCTTGCCTGAGCTCAGGGGTTCGAGACCTGAGCTCAGGGGTTTGAGACCTGAGATGTTACATTCTCTAATCCAGATCTGTCTGAAACCCAAGTCCATGCTTTTACCCACTGTAGGTAATGGTTAAATAACTTACTGGGCACGTACTTGTGGAATGTCAATGTTAAAAGTTACAGTTACAGGGCTGGGCACGGTGGCTCACGCCTATAGTCCCAGCACTTTGGGAGGCTGAGGTGAGAGGATTGCCTGAACCCACAAGTTCGAGACCAGCCTGGGCAACTTGGTGAGACCACTACACTCCAGCCTAGGTGACAGAGTGAGACTCCCAACTCAAAAAAAAAAAAAAAAAGTCTGGAAGTAGGTATGCTAAAATGTTAAACAGTAAAGTTGCACAATTTAGAAATACTTTATCTTTCTTCTGAGATACATTTTCCAAATTCAAGTTAATACATTATACCCCCATAAGGACTTCCTGTTACCTGCAGGATAAAAACCAATTCTTCCAGCACTGCCCCTAAGAGCCGTCCCAGTCTGACCGCTGCCCCACCCTCCAGTCCCCTTTCCGGCGGCCCCCAAACAGCCGACCCTCGCGGTCTCCCGGTTGCCGGGAAAGCCCGTTTCCTTTTTCTCCACCTGCTGAGTTCCTACTCATCCCTTAGGACCCAGCTCCATCCTCGACAACCCTGTTTAGCCCTTTTCTGGATCCCCCTCAAGAGCAAGACTGCTTTACTCCGGGACCAGTCACCTGTCGCGGACAGCCGCCCAGGAGACCGCAGGTGGCTCACGTGGCCCCGCCCGCGTGACGCAGCCCACGTGACCACAGCCCCGCCCCGTGCTCGGGCAGTTCCCTTCTCAGGCTGCGCCGGCGGCGGTTCCACCTCCGTCCCGGCAGGTGCCTCCGCGACCCGCGGCGCCTCAGCCGCCTTTCCCTTCGCGGCAGCAGCGCCCCCGCCCGCGCCTGGACGCTTAGGACGCCCAAAGAGTCGGAGGGCGGCAGAGTCCTTACCTTCTGGATCCGCTTCACCGCCATCGTATCCCCGCCGCACAGGACTGGGGCCGCCCGGCCAGGGCTGCCTGAGGCGGCCCGCTGCCGGCTCAGCCGCCGCCGCATTGCACGCCGGGAACCGCCGCCTGCGCGTGCGCGCCGCAAGGCACTGTGGGGGCTGTCGTCGCCGAGTGCCGCGCGCCCGGACCCAGAGCGGGGGATCCGCTGTTCTCCTTAAGGTCGATTACGCTGGCCACCCGCCCCTGGCCCTGCGGCTTCGACCACTGGCCGGCGAGGTCCTGGAGAGGCCGGCGGAGAGGAGGGGCTCGTTGGTTTCACAGTGACGCGCTGAGCACCCGCAGGGTGCCACACGCCATGCTCCCTGTCCCCACCTGCTGGGCGCCTTCCCAGGCTGTCACATAGCTCACGAGAGTTGTGGTTCTCAACTCCGTAAGTATCCATACCCTTTTATGCGTCGTGGTCGGATGCGTTACAGCTGTTTCCACATAGATGCATGTACGCAGCTACACAGAGTTAGATGCAGTCATGGAGATCCGCATGTTCACTCGAATTTAGGTGATCTTGAACCACTGCCAAGGTTGAGAGCCACGGTCTTAAACTACACGTCCCAAACTTAATTCTCTGTCTCCTTCCTGTTTTCCCAAGATCCAGCAGGCGTCTAGGTCAGAATTTTCCAAACTGTGTATCATGAACTTGTGTTTGATGAAATCAGTTTAATGAGTCGCAACCAACATTTTATGTATGTCTGTCTGTCTGTCTGTCTGTCTGTCTGTCTGTCTCTGTTACCAGGTTGGAGTGCAGTGTGGCACGCTCACACTCACCGCAACCTCCACTTGGTGGGCTCAGGCGATCCCTCCGCCTCAGCCTTCCAAGTAGCTGGAACTCCAAGCCTGCACCACCACGCTCAGCTAATTTTTTATTTATTGTAGAGTTGCGGTCTCGCCATGTTTCCCAGTCTGGTCTCGAACCACTGGACTCAGGCAATCCTCTCGCCTCCGCCTCCCAAAGTGCTGCGATTACAGGCGTGAGCCACCAGGCCCGGCTCGCAACCAACATTTAATAAAATGAAACAGAATAAAATATGAAAAATGAAATAGAATAAAATGTTAGTGCATGCCACAAAGTAAAGGGAAGAACTGCAAACGTTTTGAGGCATGTATGTCGACGATGTTCTCCAGACAGAGACACTTTAGGGCGTGAAAGGGGGCGGTAATATAATTATTCTGGGACCAAAGGTGTAATCTGGGATTGTCTCTGGCACCTATATGTTTTTCCTCAGTCAGGATACACTACATATTATACACGTTTCAGTGGTCTCCCTGGCATGTCCCTGGCTTCCATTCTCCCATCCCCTCAATCTCTTCTCCATACTACTTCATGAACTATCTGAAATGTAAATCTTACCATGCTGCATCTTTGCCCATAACTCTCCAAAGAAGCCCCATGGCTTACAGGATTAGATTCGGTGTCATCCAAGACCCTTGAATAGTATTGTCCAAGCTTACCATCTTCTCCCTAACCTAGAGGCCAGTCCCACAATGTTTACATGCATGGGTCACCCATCTCCCCACATGGTTTACATGGTTTTCCCCATAAAACAAGTGATTCAACATTTTTATACGTGTTTATATGTTTGTGTAAAAACATATAATAGTTATGTGTGTGGTAAGAATATCTATGATGGTTTTGAAGTGTCAAATCTCAAAAGAATATATGTTGTGATAGTTTTTCTTGAATGGTGGTTTGCTAATATGTTAATTTTAAAATTTCTGTGAAGAATCTGCGTGATTTATATAATCTAGAAAAAAAAGAAACAGAATTGTATAGGATAGAAAATGAAAAATTCGGCCGGGCTCGGTGGCTCAACCTGTAATCCCAGCACTTTGGGAGGCCAAGGTAAATGGATTGCCTGAGCCTGTGGGTTGGCAAGATCTCATCTCTACAATAAATAAAAAATTAGCCGGGCGTGGTAGCGCATGCCTGTAGTTCCGGCTACTTGGAAGGCTGAGGTGGAAGGATCACCAGAGCCAGCAGGGCAAGACTGCAGTGGCTGGGAGCATGTGACAGAGTGAGACTCCAACTCAAAAAAAAAAAGAAATTGAAAAATTCCATTCCTACTCTCTGTTGGTAATTTAGTGCATAGTTTTCTAAACTTTTTACTATATTTATACATAACATTTAATTTTTAAACTTTGAAATAATTTTAGATGTACAGAAATGTTGCAAGACTAATACACAAAAGATTTAAAAATTAATACTTTTTAAAAATTTTAAAGATGTAGAGTACAATTCAGGATTAGGTGTACAAGTGGTCATTGTACAGGTAAAGTTTGGGCCTCCCTTTGATCCCCACTTTGCCTGGTTTGAGATCAAATACCCTTACTGATGTGTTTCCTCCTCACTCCCAAAATTAATACATTTGACTTTATAAAAATTTAAAAGTTTTGACCAGGCATATTGGCTCACACCTGTAATTCTAGCACTTTGGGGGCCTGAGGTGGGAGACTCATTTGAGGCCAGGAGTTTGAGACCAGCCTGGGCAACATAGTGAGACCTCGTCTTTACAAAAAATTAAAAGATTAGCCAGGCATGGCAGTGTGTACCTGTAGTCCTCACTGCTCAGGAGGCTGAGGAGGGAAGATTGCTTAAGCCTAGGAGTTTAAGGCTGCAGTGAGCCGTGATGGTGCCACCGGACTCCAGCCTGGGTGATAGAGTGAGACCCTTACTCAAAAAATTAAAAACAGCTGGGTGCAGTGGCTCACACCTATAGTACCAGCACTTTGGGAGGCCAAGGTGAGAGGATTGCCTGAGCCCACAGGTTTGAGACCAGCCTGGGAGACTTGGCAAGACCTCATGTCTACAATAAAAAAATTAGCCAGGCGTGGTGGCACATGCCTGTAGTTCCAGCTACTTGGAAGGCTGAAGCAGAGGGATTTAAAAAATTGACTGGGCGCGGTGGCTCAGCCTGTAGTCCCAGCACTTTGGGAGGCCGAGGCAAGAGGATTGCCTGCCCCAGGGGTTTGAGAACAACCTCGGCAACTTGGTGAGACCTTGTCTCTATAATAAATCATACACAAAAAAATTAGCCGGGCATGGTGTCATGCATCTGTAGTTACAGCTACTTGGAAGACTGAGGCGGAGGAGTTGCCTAAGCCAGGAGGTCGAGGCTGCGGTGGCTGTGAGCATGCTACTGCACACCAGTCTGGGTACAAGAGTGAGACTCCAACTCAAAAAATAAAATAAAAGTAATAAAAAAACCTCACAGAATGTGAGAAAATATTTGCAAATCATATCATAAGGTTTAGGATCCAGAATATATAAATATATAAATGATTCAATAAACAACAACCTAATTAAGAACTGAGCAAAATATTAGAGTAGATATTTCCTCCAAGAAGATACACAACTGGGAAACAAGCACATTTATAAAACCATTGGTCTTTAGGGATATGCAAATCAAAACCACAATGAACTATCACTTCACACCTAGGATGGCTGTAATCAAGGGGACAGACAAGTGTTTACAAGGATTTGGAGACGCTGGTACCCTCATACGTTCTGGTGGCAATGTAAAATTGTGCAGTCATTTTTGGAAAACAGTTTGGTAGTTCCTCTGGAAGTTAAGCTAGAGTTAATCATATGACTTTGTAATGTGGTCTTAGGTATACTCGAGAAATTAAAATATGTGCACACAGAAAAATGGACATGAATATTTATAGGAGCATTGTTCTTGTTAGCCAAAAGGTCAAAACAACCCACATGTTCATGAATAAACAAAATGTGATATATCCACACAATGGTGTATTTTTTTTCTTTTTCTCTTTTTTCTTTTATTTTCTTTTTTTTGGTGGTATATTTTTTTGAATGAAGTACTGATGTATTAGATTTTTCAGGTTACTGTAACAAGGTACCACCACAAACTAGATGTCACAGTTATTGTGTCACAGTTCTGGAGACTCTAAGTTTGAAATCAAGATATCAACAGTTAATTCCCCCTGAGAGTTGTGTGGGAGAATCTTTTCCATGCTTCTCTCCTAATTCCTGGTGGCCTCATTCTTTCACTTGTACATGGTGCTCTCACATTGACTTTCCTCTGTGCATGTCTGTGTCTATGTCCAAATTTTTCCTTTTTGTAATTCAATCATATTGAATTAGGACCGACCCTAATGACCTCATCTTAACCTGATCATCTTCAAATACTTGGGTTTCCAAATAAGATCCCATGCATAGATACTGGGGGTTAGTACTTCAGCATCCTTTTGGGGGCACAATTCAATACATACCAGTGGATGCACCTTGAAATCATTATGCTAATTCTGAACTCTTTTTACTCAGAACATTTGTGAGACCAAATAAATAAGATGTAGCTGGACGTGGTGGCTCACGCCTGTAATCCCTATTCTTAGGGAGGTGGAGGCTAGAGGATTGCCTGAGCCCAGGTGTTTGAGACCAACCTGGGCAACTTGACAAGACCTTGACTCTATAATAAATAGGCAAATAAAAAATTAGCCGGGCATGGTGGCACGTGCCTGTGGTTCCAGCTACTTGGAAGGCTGAGGGGGAAGGATTGCCTGAGCCCAGCAGGTCAAGGTTGCAGTGGCCTTGAGTAGTGTACCACTGTACTCCAGCCTGGGTGACAGAGTGAGACTCCAACTCAAATAAACAAACAAGATGTTTTTCCCCCTCACATCAACCAATTATTTAGCTCTCCAGACAGCAGCTGGTCTACAATTTAATTCAATTCTGACAGTCACTTACTAGAGTTAGTGCAGGCAGACTCCCACAGGTTAAGGTCTCAGTTTCACAAGACTACCCCACTTCAGATGCCAATTGCAAGTCTCAGGTTGCACTTTTCCTTCTGACCAACTGACTATGTCGAAGGTTTCCATATCCCCCTCTTCAGGGTCAATAATTTTCTAGAACAGCTTACAAATCTCAGGGAAACATGCTTACCGGTTTATAATAAAGGATTAGAAAGGTAATTTTTTTATTTTTTATTTTCTTTTGTCAGGATCTCACTCTTTCATCAGGATCTTACTCTTTCTTTTATCAGGATCTCACTCTTTCTTCCTTTTCTTTTCTTTTTTCTTTTCTTTCTTTCTCAGGATCTCACTCTGTTACCCAGGCTGCAGTGCAGTGGCATGATTACAGCTCACTGTAGCCTCCAACTCCTGGGCTTAAGTGGTCCTACTACCTCAGTATCTCGGACTATGGGCATGCACCACTACACCTGGCTAATATTTTTTATTTTTTTTGTAGAGATGAGGTCTTGTTATGTTGCCCAGCCTGGTCAAATGATAATTTTCTGTTTCTGTTTCTCTTTCTACATTTATTAAATGGGATACTATGAAGAAGAGCTGCCCTTTTTCTCTTATTTTTAAAAATTATTTTGTTTATATCAGTATAGACTCATCGATATTGTATTCTAT